ATTTCCCTCAAGTAGCTCCAAATACTCTTTATTGGAGCACTCCTCATACCAAGAACTTGTACAGGACAATTGGTTGTCACACGGGATCTCAGGGTTATCCGTGATAGTCCTCAATTACTCAGGTGGTCCTCCTGCTTCCAATTTCCTCCCCCCACCACCCCTTCCTTTCCCCCTTTTTTCTTTTACTTTTTTCTCCAACCCCCCCATTCTCTTCTGCCTCTCCCCCCCTCAGCCTCTCTGTCACTAAACCCCCCAGGTACCGGACCACCTCTCAGGATACTACAAACATTCTAACAGTGGGCAACGTAACATGATTGTATAATATGATATTGTGTGTTATAACAAACTTTACGCCAGTATACCATAATATGCTCATTCAGAAGGGGACCTTTAGACATTCCACTAGATAGACAAGCCATGTCTCCAACTGACAGCGGTCTGCTACCCTGTGGGAGGTGAGACTCTTTGCTCAACCCCACATACCCCATGAGGGCCCCCCATGGGGTCAGTAATAGACTACGCAGGGACTGCGTCGGTGGTCCCCTAGTACAGCCCCCGTAACAAATAGGCCGGATGCTACACCCACCTCCGTGTATTACCCCACCTCCAGAGAGACTACAAGCACCTTTCAAAAAAAAAATTACAATTAAAAAGTATTTATCTTTAATGAATAGAAAGAGGGTAGGTACCCACCCTTTGAAAGATTGACCACAAGCGACCGAGCTCTTTCCCTCCCAACATCCCACAGGCATGACAGGGGAGACTGATGGAAATATCACTAGCGATATCCACATATGATGTAATCCGTTAACCCCCCACGACCACCATCTATTACAGTTCTCTGCGCATGCAGATACCCCAAACGAGATCTCTCCTGCCCACCACTCCATACTGGTGAATTGGGACACTACCCTTTTCAAGGTCACTGACGGGACATGAGTAGGCCCACATACATGCTCCCCCCCTATGAACGCCTTGCCCCTCCCGGAGTGATCTGGAGACTAGGGGCTCTGGGCGGAGAGATAGATGATGGGACAGGAGGGGAATTGATATTACTACTTGCGTTGTGCATTGACTCTCATTATAGAAATTGCTGTTGCATATCAGAGGTGTACTAGGCATATTACTATTATTACTCTTTCATTACTATAATTATTAGTATTACTATTATTTTATTATCACTATCATAGTATATTATGTTATATATGTGGAATCTCATGCAGTTTGTTATACACTATCGCTCTGTTTATAATCCAACTAGCACACATAATTCACAAGAAATGGACACCCTTCCTACCACATCAAACAGATGCAATCCACTACTTGACCACCAAGATTTGTCACACTGATCCAGAGATATTGCAACACACAGGACCACCTGACATCCAGGTGCCACAGTAACCCAGGTAACCTGGATCATTTCCCTATAACGAATCCCCCTCCCACCACCACCACCACCACCACAGGCTCACACCCTTTAACCCCCCGCCCCTTTAGTCCCAAACCACAAAATTGCCCTAACCACTCCATGTGAATGCAACATAAAAGGATTCAACTCACAAGCAGGCTATGCAATAACCTAACCTGGACACCGGATAGGAAGGCTGCAAACACTTGCAGCCACCCTATAATATTAACACACCGTAACTTGCTCCATCTTAAGTTCTGAAAGACCTTTCCCAGGTGCATAGCTGCTACCTAGGAGGCCCAACCCCGCCAAAGGTAGCCCACCAAGGGAACCCCTACCACGTCTACACCCCTGCTGCTGAATACAGTAACTGTAGACGTCACACGTTTCTTGTTAAAGTTCCCCTCAAACATCCCCAAGTGTCCTCCCAGCCCTCCCCCCAAAATCCCCACGACAAGGATGGCTCAATCGCATACCGAAAGACTGTAATAGACTTTGACACCATGACGATTGAACTGTACGTATGGGATCTGAGCACTATTCGCCAATAATATGCACTCAGATCCAGGCTATCTGGGGATACTAGATACGAATGGGTAGCATTCGACAAAAGTAAAGTTATAGATTTTCATATGTTTTGCTGTGTTGAATTTAAAATGTCGATTTGCCTCTGTCCTGGAGATAATTGAATTTCTTCTCAATTATCTCCAGGGCAGAGGGGAGGGAATACTAATGCATTGTGGGAATGTTCTGTGTCTGTGGGTCCTGACTTGCCATATGTCTGTCTATTGTCACAGTCTCCCATTTGGTCCCCTAGTGGAGTGTCCACAAGTGGGAGACCTGCATAAATACGGGCAGGTAGCCCACAGTAAAGCCAGTTCTTGTTTTACCCTCAATGCGGAGCTTGGTCTCGTTATTGGGGGGATTTATTACCCACGACTAGAGACTGCTGGATGGGATTATTAGCCGCTTGGGAGATATATGCGTTCGGCTAATATTGGCGATTCGTGAGTTAGAGCTCGTGGAGTGAAGTGTCCGTACGGATCCCGTTCGTGAGTTTGCAATGTTAATTGCTTGTGGTTCGCATGATTGTACTGGATACGCATGCAGCATATGCTATTGCGAGAGGGGAGCATTCACTAAACGGCGGTTTGTACATTTCATGCCGAGGGTACCGTAACACTCCCTAACAGACGTCAATGTGCTATCCTCAAGAAACGACTTAAAACCATAGAATTCTTTACGGAGGGGATTCTGATAATGGGTGGAGACTTTAACCTCTCCATTGATACCCAAATGGACACGACGTCACACATGACCCAATATCAGACGTCTGCCCGTAAACAAATGACAGCGTTGCTAGACCGAGCACAACTCTCCGACTGCTGGCGCACTATACACCCGTCAACAAAAGACTTTTCCTTCTACTCGAATACATCACATATGTACTCTAGATTGGATATGTTCTTAACACCACACAGATTCCTCCACCTGGTACAATCCAGTAGCTACGGCCCATCACCTTGTCAGACCATGCACCCCTGTCTCTGTCTCTTGCCATACATATCCCTACATTACCACAGAAATCATTTCAATGGAAACTAAATGACCTCCTCCTAAACGACCCACATTACAAATTCACTACAACAATACTTTACCACGAACACATCACCCGACACACCCTCGCCAAACACTTGGGAGGCACACAAATGCGTCATCAGGGGAGAACTAATAGGAATAGCGTCCCGACATAAGAAACTAAGAGAGGCTAAAGTCCAAACCCTCACAAATGAAATAAGACTCCTGGAACAACAACATAAACAGGATTCCAAACTGAACATATACACTGCCCTGCTGGCTAAGAGGATGGCCTTACAAGATCTCCTGAACACCAAGGTTAAATGTGCTCTCCTTCTTACAAAACATAATTACTACGCACATGGAGGCAAGTGCGGTCGCCTGCTGGCAAACTCTTCCCGACAACAGAGACAATCCTCATTTATAGCCAAAATCAAGACCCATACAGGCGCCGTGGCATACAATCTCCCAGACATTCTACAGGCATTTCACATTCTCCCATCCCTTGATGCCCCTATCACGCAGGATGAGGTCTGTGCAGTCATACAACATCTCCCCTTGGGGAAAAGCCCAGGGCCAGATGGCTTTTTGGCCAAATATTATAAGACGTTCGCAGAACACCTGATAGACTTTGTACAGGCCTTTAACTCTCTCGCGCAAACGTCACATAACCCTCATCCCCAAACCGGTAAAGACCCAACCAATTGTGGAAGTTATAGGCCAATATCCCTTATAAACCTAGACTGAAAGATCTTCACAAAAATCCTGGCCAACTGCCTACGTCCCCTTCTCCACTCTCTGATACACAAAGACCAAGCGGGTTTCGTCCCTAACAGAGGAGCAAAACATAATACTACTAAGATACTAAACCTCCTATATATAGCACAACACCTGCCCATGGACAGCCTCTTGCTATCAATCGATGCAGAGAAGGCATTTGACAGGGTAGACTGGACCCTGTTAATAGCCACGCTCCACAAATTAGGTTTCGGCCCCAATTGGATACAATGGATGCAGACCATATACTCTTCCCCAACCGCAAGACTGCAAATAAACGGACAACTATCCAACCCGGTACACATCAGAAATGGCACGAGACTAGGGTGCCCCCTATCCCCCTCCTATTCATCTTTATACTGGAACCATTCCTGAACGGTATAAGGAGTAACGCAGACATACAAGGCATACAGGTACAACAGGCAGAATACAAGGTCTCAGCCTTCGCTGATGACCTCCTATTCACCATCCAATCCCCTGACACCTCACTACCACCACTATTGGAGGAAATTTCCCTATACCAAACACTCTCAAACTTCAAAGTTAACTTCGCCAAAAGTGAAATTCTCCCAATCAAAATGACCCCACAAGCCCGCTCCTCTCTCACAGCGCAGTTCCCATTCGCTTGGGCAGATAAGGCAATAACATACCTAGGTGTTCACCTCTCCACCACATTCGAAATTAATTTTGAACCACTTTTCCACTCGATATCTAAAGACCTCAATTCATGGCACAGGCCACAGTACTCATGGTTTTGCAGAGTCAACATCCTCAAAATGAACACCCTCCCCAAGATCTTGTATCTACTACAGACCATTCCCATTGCTATCCCCAAGACATTCTTCACCAAACTCAGACAATTGTTCACATACTTCATATGGGCTCACAAACAGCCACAAATCACATACGACACCCTCACTAGACAAAACCAGTGGCGGTCTGGGGCTACCACATCTAGATAGGTACCACAAAGCAGTCATCCTATCAAGGATCTACGAATGGTCGATCCACCCCCAAAGTCGCCAATGGATCCAACTAGAAAGCTCAGTTTTTACTGTCCCCTTACACACAATCCCATGGCAAAAATAGGTTCCCTCATTGCTTCTCCCCAGCCACGCCACACACCCCACGACCATGCCCACACTCCAGATATGGACACGCATACAGGAAGCAGCGGGCATATCCTCCCACCCAACCCCCGTATACCCCATTACGCACAACCCCCTCTTCCCACCAGGCCTGTGAGATGTACCAACACCTCCAAAACACACCTGATGAAACTTACCTCCAGTTAAGCACCATGTTAGAGAGACACCGCATCCGGTCCCTGACCAGCTTGACTAAACACGACGACCCTACAACGATGCAAACTCTCCTCTATGCTCAGGTGACTCACTTCATAAGAAACAACCCCACACTCCAGGGGGGCTCCTGCACTCTCTCCGACTTTGAGATCCATTGCAAGGCAAATAACGTTAAAACCAAACAGCTTTCGACATTCTATAAGCTCCTAGGATCTGACCACCACAACACACTACCAAAATTCACAGACTCATGGTCCACAGACCTAGGTATTTAAACCGACGCTCTCCAATGGAAGACCATCTTCTGTCAAACCCACACCACCTCCGTATGTGCTGCTATTCAAGAGGGTAACTACAAGAGAATCGCCAGGTGGCATTATTCCCCCATCCAATATCCACAAACTTTTCCCCAACTCACATGATGCCTGCTGGAAATGCTCCCAACCAGAAGCCTCCTTAGCACATACATAGTGGCTTTGCCCAACTCTCCAGAAATACTGGAATAACATAGTAAAAATGATCGAAACGATAACAGGGATCCATCTACCCGTTACCCCACAAACCCTACTGTTTATGATACTCCCTCATCCCCTTCCCAAACCACAACAAATTCTTCTCATGTACCTTGTAACAGCTGCCAACCTGCTAATCCCGGTAAAATGGAAAAACCCGATCGCCCCATCGATCAGGGAGTGGATCACCAGGGTAGACACACTAAGGAACATAGAAGAAATCCATGCCTCCATCACACACAAACAAGCTCTCTTCCGAGACGTTTGGGAACCCTGGGACACATTCATGACCAACAACTAGCATGGTTCTAATCACCAGACAATGAGGCCTAAGGAAACACACACAAGACACAAAAAGGGAACTAAAGAAGGTAACCCCCGACCAAACACACCCCTCATGCTGGACTTCCCCTCCCCACCCCCCTCACGATTTCCACAAACACTCATCCTAATTCCCAAGACACACTAATAATGGCACAAAATGCAGAGAAAGGACAAACAGGATAAAATAGAGAGGCCATACCTTGCCCCCACCACCCCACCCCACCCCCCACTCCCAGTAACTCCCCCACCTACATAACCAAACCCTCTAGCCTGCTTCGCAGTGGATGCAGGAGCAACAGTTTTCTCACCCCCAACACGGCACTGTCCACGCCACCAAACGGTAACCAGAACAATCGAAGCTGCACTACTAACTTTAACACCATGTCAGGCAGATACACTCTCAAATACTCCAGTTACCTCCCTATAAGGTAACAAACCAACACATTGACATGCTGGCATACTTGACCTCCATCTCTTATAGCCTCCACCCTACACACTTCAAGCCATGCCATTTGAAGGTACAGGAGTAAATAGTCAATCAACTATACACTCAATAAAGACACGTTTGGTCCAATACTGCCAACAGATACTCAATGATTAGCAGCTGAGCCCTAAAATGCATTGTAACCAATCATATAGAAATCAAAAGCTATATCACTTGTATTTCACTTGCCACTCCTCTGCAAAATACTATGAGTACATTCAGATTATCACAGTGCTAATGTCGTGACCATACACTTTGAGCCTGCTGATGCTGCTGTGGCGATACAGGCACTGTTGTATTTATTTAAATATCTAAATAAAGAATAATAAATAAATAAATAAATAATAATTAGGCTGACGAAACTTTGGTGTCTAATTGGTGCTATGTATGTAAAAATTGTTGACCAAGCTGGTGTATGTGATTTAACATATTGTGATGTACTGATGTAACTTATTACACTTGGAACGTAATAGCGATGTAAGTGTCCCTCATACCCTTCCTGTACCCCTTCTTGCTTTCTGTATTTCCCCCCCTCCCCCCTATTTTTTGACGGACAGAAGTCCAATAAACTTCAAATTGGAAAGAAAAAAAACAGCTTTGCATTTTTCAACATTAAATTTCATCTGCCATTTGAGTGCCCAGTCCCCCAGTCAATCTAAATCCCTCTGCAGCAAAGTAATATCTTGCTCACATTGTATTATTTTACAGAGTTTTGTGTCATCTGCAACACTGAAACATGACTTTCAATGCTTTCTTCAAGATCATTTACAAACGTGTTAAATAGAAGGGGTCCAAGAGCAGAAACCTGAGGGACACCACTTGCCACCTCTGTCCAGCTTGAAAATATACCATTAACGACAACTCTTTGTACTCTATTTTTAAGCCAATGTTTTACCCTAGAACAAGCATTTTCATCTAAACCGATTTCCTTGAGTTTGAACACTAATCTATTGTGTGGAACTGTATCAAATGCCTTGGCAAAATACAAATAGATCACATCCACTGCAACACCCTGATCTATACTTCTACTTACTTCTTCGTAGAACGCAATCAAGTTAGTTTGACATGACCTGTGCTTCATAAAACAATGCAGATTTTTGCTGATAACCATGTTCTTCTCAAGGAATTCTTGAATATTATCCCTTAATAACCTTTCAAATATTTTCTTAGCCACAGAAGTTAAGCTCACAGTTCTATAATTTCCAGGCAAGGGTTTTGAACCCTTTTTGAATATAGGAACCACATCTGTCTTCCTCCAATCCTCCTGAACACTTCCTGAAAGAAAAGAATTTCGAAAGATTAAAAACAGAGGTTCACTTATTTCTACACTTAGTTCCTTAAGTACTTGTGGATGGATACCGTCAGGCCCTGAAGCTTTGTTTATATTAACTTTCTTTAGTTGCTGCAGCACCTTGTCTTGAGTTAACCAATTACAAGTATCCTGCAAGTTTTTAGTAGCAATCATTTGCACATCTATTGCCATGGGTTTTTTTCCTTAATATATACGGAGGATAAATAGTTATTTAGAATTCCTGCCTTTTCCTGGTCTTCATTAACTAGCATCCCCGTTTCAGTTTTTAGTGTACCTACAGAATTTATGTACTTTAGAAATGATTTGGGGTTGGTTTTGCTCTCTTTAGCTATCATTTTTTCATTTTGAAGTTTAGCAAATCTAATCGCCTTTTTGCACGCATTATTGGCTTCCTTATATCTTTTATAAGATGCATCTGATTTGTCCGATTTAAATGCTTTAAATGTCCTTTTCTTATTTCTAATCTCTTGTTTTACTTCTCTACTAAGCCACATTGGTTTTAATTTGTTCATTTTATATTTATTACCCAATGGTACATACTGAGAAATGTGCCTTTCTGATATTTGTTGGAAGATGTTCCATTTATCCTCAGTGTTCTTTTCACTAAAGAGTTTATGCCAGTCAATATATTGTAAAGCTGCCCTTAATTTATAGAAATTGGCCTTTTTAAAATTATATGTTTTAGAATACCCCATATGAGTTTATTTTTTTGAGTTTATTTCAAAGTTAGTAAATAACTATAAGTATAATAAAAGAGAATATTTTCACCCATCCCTAATGCTCACTGTTTAACAAACCAAACCATGTTTAGAATACAAACATAGAAACATAGAAACATAGAATGTGACGGCAGATAAGAATCATTCGGCCCATCTAGTCTGCCCAATTTTCTAAATACTTTCATTAGTCCCTAGCCTTATCTTATAGTTAGGATAGCCTTATGCCTATCCCACGCATGCTTAAACTCCTTTACTGTGTTAACCTCTACCACTTCAGCTGGAAGGCTATTCCATGCATCCACTACCCTCTCAGTAAAGTAATACTTCCTGATATTATTTTTTAAACCTTTGTCCCTCTAATTTAAGACTATGTCCTCTTGTTGTGGTAGTTTTTCTTCTTTTAAATATAGTCTCCTCCTTTACTGTGTTGATTCCCTTTATATATTTAAATGTTTCTATCATATCCCCCCTGTCTCGTCTTTCCTCCAAGCTATTCATGTTAAGATCCTTTAACCTTTCCTGGTAAGTTTTATCCCGCAATCCATGAACCAGTTTAGTAGCCCTTCTCTGAACCCTCTCTAAGGTATCAATATCCTTCTGAAGATACGGTCTCCAGTACTGTGTACAATACTCCAAGTGAGGTCTCACCAGTGTTCTGTACAATGGCATGAGCACTTCCCTCTTTCTACTGCTAATACCTCTCCCTATACAACCAAGCATTCTGCTAGCATTTCCTGCTGCTCTATTACATTGTCTGCCTACCTTTAAGTCATCAGGAATAATCACCCCTAAATCCCTTTCCTCATATGTTGAGGTTAGGACTCTATCAAATATTCTGTACTCTGCCCTTGGGTTTTTACGTCCAAGATGCATTATCTTGCACTTATCCACATTAAATGTCAGTTGCCACAATTCTGACCATTTTTCTAGTTTACCTAAATCATTTGCCATTTGGCTTATCCCTCCTGGAACATCAACCCTGTTACATATCTTAGTATCATCAGCAAAAAGACATACCTTACCATCAAGACCTTCTGCAATATCACTAATAAAAATATTAAAGAGAATGGGTCCAAGTACAGATCCCTGAGGTACCCCACTGGTGACAAGTCCAAGCTTCAAATATATTCCATTAACTACAACCCTCTGTTGCCTGTCACTCAGCCACTGCCTTACCCATTCAACAATATTGGAATCCAAACTTAAAGATTGCAGTTTATTGATAAGCCTTCTATGTGCAACAGTGTCAAAAGCCTTACTGAAATCTAGGTAAGCAATGTCTACTGCACCACCCTGATCTATAATTTTAGTTACCCAATCAAAAAAATCAATAAGATTAGTTTGGCATGATCTCCCTGAAGTAAACCCATGTTGTCTCTGATCTTGAAATCCATGTGTTTTTAGATGTTCATCAATCCTATCTGGCCTATCTGGCCTATCTGGCCTATAGTTGCCCGACTCCTCCCTATTACCTTTCTTGTAAATGGGCACAACATTCGCTAACTTCCAATCTTCTGGGACTACTTCTGTTAACAATGATTGGTTAAATAAATCTGTTAATGGTTTTGCTAGCACACCACTAAGCTCTTTTAATAGCTTTGGGTGTATTCCATCAGGTTCCATTGACTTATTTGTCTTTTCTTTTGACAGTTGAATTAGAACCTCTTCCTCAGTAAACTCACGTGTAATAAATGACTCATTTATCCTTTTTCTCAACTGAGGTCCCTTTCCTTCATTTTCATCTGTAAATACAGAACAAAAATATTCATTGAGGCAGTCAGCTAGACCTTTATCCTCTTCTACATACCTTCCTTCTTTTGTTTTTAATCTAACTAATCCTTGTTTTACTTTTCTTTTCTCATTTATGTATCTAAAAAATGTTTTATCCCCCCTTTTTTACTGACTGTGCTATTTTCTCTTCTGT